CCATACAGATGCACAGTGTCTATATGGATAATCAATCTGGTATACCAGATGATCCAGGTTCTCCAAATCGTCCTGCATTTCAGATGATTTGTTTTACTAGATCAAAAAAGACTGGGATAATATATGCAGTATCGAAATATCGATTTGGAAATCCTAGAACATTTGGCATACACGGAAATATGTTGGCTTGATCCACATAGCCACTGCAAATTTGTTTGGACATATTTCGTACTAAAGATATTGTTTTAGTCTAGGGTTATCTAGTAAAAAAATAATCTGATCTCCAGAATGATTTCAGAACCTATAACATCTTGTATACGTAGCAATCTGTTTGGACATATTTCGATACTACAGACATTATTGCAGTCTTGGTTGATATAGTAGAACAAATCAACTGAACTCTAGGACGATTTGGAGAACCTAGAATATCCGGTATACATAGCAATTACTCGCATATATACGATTCATGTATGATTTGACAACGAAAAATGCTATGTTCATATTGGAAATAAAAAGAAACATGAAAATGTCTCACATTGGACAGACCCCAGGGAATTTTCGTGTAACTCCGGTGTGACTTATGGAATTTTCGGAATTTTGGAAATTTTGCGATATCGCCTGTTGTAACAGCCCTGCAGTTGGGATTAGTGGTTTTTCCCACACATCAAAATTTATAATCACAGGGGAATTTTAGGGAAAATTAGTACAAAAGTGCGTAAAGTTTGTACATGCGTACCTTCACGGTACGCGTGCACACGTTAAATTATAAAACTTGAAGTTTAAACTAAGTTCCGAAGAGCATTTCTTAGGAACTCTAGACAAGGGTGCAGAAATGACCGCATCAAAGTTTGAAGAAGTTCCGTGGAAGCACACATGAAACAATTCGCAAAAGTCTTTGTTTGTAACAGTATTCCACGTAAATCTAAAACGATCAAGTAAAGCAAGTAACGTGATGAAAGCTAGGCCCGGCCCCTAAACACGGCATATCAAGCAAATAAATCCTTTTTGAGCAATAAATCCCAATTTCAATGACACAAAAAGTTCTCACTCATTCAACATTGTGATCCGAAAAAAAAACACAAATTACGTAACGCATGGAGTGAGGGGGAGGGAGGTCGAACTTGCTTTACTTATCGTTACATAGGGGGAGGGGGATATTGGGAAATGTTACGTAACGGATTGACGGAAGTGAACAAAATTTGCTGTTAAATAAATCCACGCGACCCTTGTATCTATAACATAATAAACACCATGGGGGCGACCCCGGCGTAGTGGTTAACATCCATACCTTTCACGCCAAAGTCACGAGTTCAAATCTCACCCCCGGACAAGTCACGAATGACCCAAGAGTGTTAAAGCGACTATAATAATAAAAAAAAAAAAAAAAATAATAAACACTTTTTATTCGTAATGCAAAAATAAATTTAAGCTATGCTTTGTTGCATCATAGAGATCCAAGCGTGCGGCCCGCGAGTCGCACTTCGATCATTACTGATTTAGGTAAACCATATTATGGCTTCGTCTAAGCGTCCTAAAATTGTACTTGTAATTGTAATTCATCCAACCCGGGGGCAACTTGACAAGTCCAGTACATTTCCAGTGTACTCCGAAAATTTGGTGCTGGTGGTTCTGTCAAACTCACAAATTTCAGAAGTGTTATCTGAATAGGGCGAATGCAGATATGTAAATAAAGTAAATAAAATACTGAACATAAAAACAGATAGCCTCATCTGTTTCTTGAAACTTCAAGTTGGTGGGGAACAATGTTAATTAAACGGACGGGTGTAACAAAAGACAATCACTGAAATTTATTCGTTTTAGAAGCTCATTATGAATATCTTTTGTTGAGAGACGCTTATTTTAATTTATTTTATTTATTTCTTCATGTTTGAATGAATATACGAAATGTTAGTGTTCACACAGCAAACCTGCTACTCACCGCGAATAAGAATCAATTTTGTGTTTTTTTTCACCCCTCAATAGAAAGATGGGGAAGTAAACTGTTTTTAATAATACGGCTTTTTATTGCAAGTCTTCACCGCACAAGTATGCTCAGAAACATTATTCTCGAGACTGATAATATTCAAGAGCAAAATATAATAGAATTAACCAATGTGTTTTTATTTCTATTTGATTATATAAGAAAAACTTCCATCAATCTGTTCCAATTTGTTTGGTTTTATTTCATTTCACCACGAAAATCATAAATCGCTCTTTTCACATGGCATTCTTGCTTGTTGCTTGACATCCACACATGGTGAAACAAAAAGTTGCCTTCCCATAGAGAAATACCATTACTACCATCTACTATTTGCAAGTGGGTACGTGAAACTAAGATTATCTGTCACCTTGCCGGGGAGTTGAATTCATCAGCCCTCAGCCTGGCTCACCACTGTCAACCCATCTAAATTTGACTAGGTGAGGACCTACCAAACTTAAGCGTTAACACAGACCGTACAGCATGCCGCTTCTTTCACTAACAGGTTCAAGCTGTCCCACAAGTTTCAGATAGTGTAAGGTGGGGCAAGACGGTTCACGGGCAAGATGGGTCAGCTAGTACATTTATGAATTTATTTATTTTTCAAAATCAACAGGTTCAATGCAATCCCAATACACTGGAGTCGCTTTTTACGCGGTTTTTTTTACACGGTTTTTTTTTACGCGGTTTTTTTTTACGCGGTTTTTTTTACGCGGTTTTTTTACGCGGATTCCGGAATTTACGCGGTTTTTTTTTACGCGGATTTTGGTTTTTTTTTACGCGGATTTCAGAATTGACGCGGTATATCGCTTTTTACGCGGTTTTTTCTTACACGGTCTTTTTTTACGCGGTTTTTTTTACGTGGATTTCGGAATTTACGCGTTTTTTTTTACGCGGATTCCGGAATTTACGCGGTTTTTTTTACGCGGTTTTTTTTACGCGGGACGTATCACCCGCGTAAAAAGCGACTCCAGTGTATTGGTTTGCTTTTTGAAGCATTGAGGCTACATTAAGTCTGATGAATCAAAATAATAAATAAATCAAGTAGATGATCCATCTTGTCTCCCTTTACATTAACTAAGGATAGGAGACGATTGGAAGGGGAAAAGTCGAGAAGGTTATGAATGGCTTCAGCAAAATAGTTGTAGATTTCTTCAAAAAAAAAGGTTGTGATGTCCAAAAGGTTGTTCCTCCTTCCTCGTGATATCCAAATTATTGTTCCCTAATGTTTCCACTGTATAAGAAATCTGTAAATATATAAAAAGCCCTGTTCTTGGATATTCTCGCTTGATCGTTGTCATTGGTGTTACAATGACCAAACAGTAGCAGACATATCGTCTCGTTATTCTTAAGTCAATATATTGATTGGTTGCAACCAGTGGTGGCACGAGTACTAGAGTTTAACGTTTTTCCTTAACATTTGATTCTTTGCGCAATGACCATAGAGAATACGAACAAACACAAACTGGCAAGGGGAAAAAATGTCATGACATTTCTAAACTGTTTTCTGCAGGCGACAGAACATTTGCGCACAATGAAGCAGACAAGACCAGCGGCGCGTGCGACATAGATTTATGTCATGTAGAATTTTGCTGATTACTGGCTAATTATAGCATTTATTTGATGTTTATTGCATGGAATTATAAAATAAGAACGAATACTAACCACTCATAACCTAAGATGTTTAAAATAATGCGTAAATAAGGGAGTTAAAAAATTTACTGTCATACGCAAGCTTGCAGCTAAAATGTAATTTCAATCAACTGTTTGAAAAATAATGAGCTACGACATTTTTCCTATTCTCTGTCTCCGCCGTTTGCTTGTAATGTAGAAATACACGACCGCTCGTGTGCTGGCTGTTTTGTTTTGCTCTGGACGATGGTTTTGCAAAAAAAATGTACTGTTACCACCTCTGGTTTCAACAACACGGCTCGTGTAGATGCGTTGAAAAAGTTTCTTCGTGTTTGCACAGAGAATAAACGTTGAGGCTGTAAAAACTAGTGTAACTAATCCATAATGACCAGTGTAAAACACAAAAAAAAAACAAAACTTACCGACTTTGGAGCTCACTCAACGTGCAACTCCACACGTTTCCTAAATTTAATGCCCTTGTCCAATATACTTGAAGAATATTTTGGAGAATATCAGGTTTCATGATACACTCAGGTCTTTTTTTACACAGGGGATATGTACGGTGTAAAAAAAAACCTACAAGATTTTGATTTCTCACATGCTTAAATTAAATGTTTAAAAAAAATTGGATTTTGATGCCATTTGTAATTATAGCATGCAGTGCTGTGGACATATTTAAAAAATTCTGTATTTACACCAAAAATTGTGATTTTTTAGTATTGTAGTATGCTTTACGATTACCTATAGCTTGAAACAGATAATGTGGTTGAAATCAAGTCGATAGGTTGTATCATTGTCGAGAAATCGTTAAAAACGTACCGTTTAAAACCGCGAAAAACCGTGTTAAAAAACCGAGTAAAAAAGACTTCAGTGTATTCACCTTGAGGGCACAGGTCAAAATAACATTCCTTGTACCTCCGTTAATTTGCACGACACGTCATACACATCAACGGGGTTGATTTTTAATTTGAACTTAATTTGTTTCTGGTAGTTTGATTTGCTGTTTTGCTTAGATTCTGCGTCCCGTTTCGCATCGTTCCTTTCGTTTTACTCCATTTCATGAGCTAAATGACGTTTGAGCCATTTTTAGTTTGCACGGCGTGCATATTAACGGGGTTCAAATAAAAAAGTGTTCAGATTAAATACGGTCGGATTCAGGGTGCACGATACTGTTGTATTTCGTACAACGCGCGAGTGCTCGTGTTACAAAAGTTGGGGCGAGTACTGAAAGGTTAATAAAGTTATAAAATAAGAAGTAAATTATGAATGAATTAGGAACCATACAGAATTAGGCACGATCACTGAACCCGAATTTGTTTGCATATATGATTGTGATCAGTCTGTTTGATATGTGATTTTGATAATACATTTGAAAGAGTGACAAACATACCAGCATTATCGAATTCGCCACAATAGTTGGGTGCAGAGAAAAGCGTTACCAGTTGACGTTTGGCGAAAAATTCGTATCCATCTTCAACCACTTGATGAGCCCGGCATATCAAATCAAAGTCATGTTTAGATAAAAATTTACCAACAATCTGAAAAAAAAAAAACAAGAATTAGAAAGCACAATACACAGTAGTTCAGGTAAACAGAAGAAATTAAATCTAGCGTTCAGAATCATAAGGGCCTACATGCGATGATATATTATCTTAATAGATTTTCTCTTTGCATTACTTCCAATTAAGTGAACCAATTTTCCGAAATATTTATAATACTATATACACGGCCAATGTATTGTACAGAAGATTTTTGTATTGTAGAAGCAGCAGTTCCATTATGGAAGAATGAAAAATTTCATACGGCTATTGAATACTCAGTGTTCACAGACTCGCATAGGTCACGTTCAAGCGTTTTTGATTTAGAATTAGTTTATGATTTTAAAAATGCAATTGTTCCTGAATTTCACAGTAGACTGAATAACATAAATAGGCAAAAACTTTTAAAAGATGAAAACGACATAGACAAGACTGTTGACATATTTTATACTAACTTATACAATATCAATGAAGTATTCGTTCCTAAAAGACTAAAGAGAATAGTAAACAGCACCAAATATCCTGTGTGGTATACACAAGAAATCAGAAACATTAAGAACAGGAAGCAAGTTGCATAAAAAGTTTAAAACTTCACAAAATTTAGAAAAATACGTTGTTATTTGCAGAGCACTTGGGGCAGAAATATCGCCAGCATATGAGAATTACAATTCAAGAGTAGAGAACAATATAAAATCTGATCCCAAAACGTTCTTTAACTTCGCGAAAGAAAACATTAAGTCACATTCCCATCACGCATGCAGTTTGAAGAGTTTGATAGCACTGATAGTGAAAATGACATATTAGTTAATAATATCACTGTTCAAGAAATTTTTATTACTCTTGAAAGTTTCGATGCCGGCAAAGGACCTGGTGATTTTCCAAAAAATTGTAAGAACTCATTTTTAGTCCCAATATTTAAATCTGACAACATTAAAAACTATAAAGATATTGCAATTATGTCATGCATTCCTAAAATGTTTGATGCAATTGTTAGCTAGAAAATATTTAACCAGGTTAAGTATCACATTTCAAGTAACATGGTTTTCTTTAAAGGTCGGTCAACGTCTACAAATCTTTTGAAATTTGTAAACTTTTCAATTGAAGCACTGGATAGAGGTAATACCGCTGAAACTTTATACTCTGACTTTAGTAAGGCCTTTGACATAGTAGACATTACCTTACTAGTTTTAAAATTAAAACGTTTAGGTATGACAAGTACACTTTTAAAATGGATTGGATCATACTTGACAGAAAGAATACAGATGGTTCGCTTTAAAGGAAAAATGTCCTCGCCAGTTAATGTTACCTCGGGAGTTCCACAGGGATCTCATTTAGGTCCTTTATTATTTATTTTATTTGTGGATGACGTGAAGTTTGTGTTAAATCGGTGAAATGTGCTCATATATTCTGACGCTATCATGCTTGGCATACACAGTTGCACACACCAACCGCTCATTTGTTAATAACTTTTCACTCAGTTGTTTAAATTTGTTTTTCTTTAAAGTAATTGATAGATTAGAATCATAGTTTAATATAGATATGCAAAGAGTAGATAAATTTTTACATTTGAATCAATACCAATGTTTTTTACACTTAAAGTCCGAGATGTGCAGCAAGCATTTCTGACTTCATTTTTACAGCGCAAAAACAAATATGTACAGTTTATTACTAGAATTAAAGTATACTGTTTTTTACGTATCTATTAAAAACTTAAACTCTATGCTATCTACTGCTTCAAAAAGAACTATGTTACGTCAACTGTGTGCAAAGTTATTAGTAAATGAGCAGTTCGTGACCAAAACTGTGTATGCCAAGTTGGACGCTATGAAACTGTACATGGAAATCTTTAACAATTCTGAAAATAATATGTGGGGATTCGTAAAAATATTTAGTTATCATTTTAAAGACCCAAAAAATGTCTGGTCACGTCTTCCTTCGGAAGGGAAGTAAAGCCGTTGGTCCCGGCCCATGTGTGTTGAATGGCTGCGATATCCTACGCAGGTGTGGAAAGCTGCCTTCCTGCACATTCGATTGCCGTCAATGGATGGCAATCGATGTCCGTCGGTAATTGGCACTAGATTGCGGAACAGAGACCGACGTTAAATAAAGGAAAGAAGAAGATTTTAAAGACCCATATACCATCAAAACACTTTATATAGCTTACTTGAGATCAATTACGTGTTGATCAACAGTACTGATAATTTTCATTTCAGCTTAATTTTGAGATTTTAAATTTTAAATTTCTCGAAATTCTAACAATCCTCACCCAATTAACCTAACTCATAAGAACCAAAGATTTAAGTAAAGTAAAGGAGAAAAATCTATTCAAATCTCTCTTGACATTTTTACCTAGGGGATGAGTACTTAAGGGTGTTAGGTTTTTGATAAGTCTTTAGTGGGAATGACACTGATGAAGTCTGCACTTTGAAGTCGAAATACGTATCTGTCATGGATACCAAAATTAATTAAGTGGAATTAAATGGAAGATAACCTTTTTTTACTGTTTTAATTTTTATTTCTTAGGTATTTGTATATATAGTCCACATTAATTGACAATTTCAAATAAAACGTATTAAAACATAAATAGCATGTAAGGCAACAGTATTATTGTAAAACAGTCTACACTGATTGACGACAAATAATCAAATGAAAACGAACGAAATTTGAGCTTAGTTTACTCATAATAGCCAAAAGTGCAGGAACTCAGCGATGAGTAAATTTGCCACATGTTTTTCTGTGGAAAATCTCAAAAATTCTACTGGAAAATTAGGAAAATTTTACTCAGTCTGGGAGTAGTACCAACGGTATCCAGAAAGTGAATTCAATATTTACTTTTCTTATATTCGGGAATTTTTTCCATTTGAATGTGTGTAACTAGAACGTTCAGCAAAGCGGACCAAGAGAACTATCGCTGCTAATGACGATTTTTGATTTGAGAATACCTCCCATATTGAATTTCATCTTGAACAAAGCATTATCGTCATTGCATACTCAAACATCTGGAAAAATAAAGCTAACTATCACTTTCTCTCCCATTTAGCATCTGAAGCATTTCTGCTTTTACAACTGAGTCCGCATTCTTACAAAACGAAGCCATCTTATCATTAAAACGTCGTTTAACACTCAAACAAACATAAAACTAAAGCTACCCATATTTTAAGTTTTTTTTTTTTTTCATTACGGAAATCGAATGGCTATTAAGCAGCTTCTATTACATTTTATTTTGAGGATGCAGAATAATAGTTATTCTAACTTTACTTTAATAATGTAATTTCACAAAACAAATTAACAAAAGCCCGAATCGGGAAAGCGACAAAGTGGACCGGTGCGAGCGCGCGCGATCGCACCGGTCCACTTTGTCGCTTTCTCGAACTTTTTCGGCCTTTTGTGATTCGGCCTTCTGTAATTCGGCCTTTTGTGATTCGGCCTTTCGTAGTACTCCCGTTTCAATGCAGCAAAGGAACTTCATAAGGTAATGACAATGATTGATGTTGTAAAAACAATGCAGGCATCAACCATTAACAACTACTATAATAACTATCGACAAATAAAACGTTATCAAGATAGCCTTGCAAACTTGTTCCGTAATCATAACGTTGCTACACTAACATGCTACGATATATAGTTGAAGATGCTAATCTCAAATAACATACTAAAGTGTTAATTTTTATACGATAGATGAGGATATGAAAGTATAGAGTTGATAGTTACGTTAGAGTACGGCAGTGTGAAGAATAGAAAGCGAGCAAGGACAACTTTTAGGAATTCACTCCACTGCGTCCTAGCAAGAAGTACGGTCGACTTAGATCGCGCTCCGCTATTTTGGAAGTTTTCTCGCTATTCGCTTGATTTAAATTATCAGTTTTTCTCGCTTAAGTTCCCAGTTAAACAATTAACTAAAAGTGAGTTTTTTTTTTCTGAGAAGAAAGTGTGTTTTCGGCATCATCGGAAGGAAAATTGTTTTTGTGATTGCCAATTCTCCAACCATTTTGCGCACCATCGGTGCGTGGTAACGCATACCTGCACACGGATCATCGTCATCGAGTGTCAGCATCTGCCTCCGCATTTACACCGCTCATCTATCATCGTGTGTTCAGCTGAGTGCCGACCCTCACATAAGCACACACCAACGAAGACCGCCCGCACACGCTGATCGAAGATCATCCACGCTGCGCGTCGCTCCGCTGCTGCCGTTTAAACGCTCGGTGGTAGTAGTATAGGATTATCAGATAAGTTTTTGTTCTTGTTTCTCTCTTTCGCCCACAGTTAAATTTTAAGTTTGTGTTCTGTGTTTGTAGTTTTTTTTTGTGTGTATTGTGTCCGAGTGATTATCGTTTCAGTGGTAGACACCAGTGGTGACACCACTTTACCACGCGATGGCAAGAAGGGTCGAAAACGTACGTCATCTCAGAAGACAGATGATGTCATCCCTGGTTCATCGTCTCAGTCTGGCAAAGGACAGGCTCAGATAAACCTCCGATCACGAGCCTATCCAGATGACTCGACTGGCCCATGGGTTGTCTACTTTCAGCCCAGAAACAAACCTTTGAATGTAATGCAAATTATTAATGATCTGACGAAGCGATACTCGGCCGTGACTGAAATCACGAAGGTTAGGCACAATAAACTTCGTGTCTCCGTCTCTAACCTGAAGCAGGCTAACGAGATTGCTGCCTCCCAGCTTTTCACGCTCGAGTATAGAGTTTACATCCCAGCTCGTGATGTGGAGATCGAAGGTGTGGTCACCGAAGCGAGTCTGACCCCCGAGATCTTGGAGAAGCAGGCGGTTGGCCGTTTCAAGAACCCTTTGCTTCCCCCGGTGAAGATACTGGATGTTCAAAAACTGGGCTCAGTATCTGTCAGCGAGGGTAAAAAGAGTTTTACCCCCACAGACTCGTTCCGTGTGACCTTTTCTGGTTCAGCCCTTCCTCACTACATCGAGCTGGGAAAACTTCGACTACCTGTGCGTTTGTTCGTTCCCCGGGTCATGAACTGCCAAA